AAATCGATTGTATTTAAATTAATCAAAATATGAAACTTTCCAAGCAAAATTTATAAATGTAAATTTCCAAACAAATATAAAAAATACCAAACCACACGGACAATTGCTGTGGGGATTCGGTACAGACGATTTTACTCTGTATGCTCAGTGCCAAACGATCCTAAGCTACATCTACTCTTTGCGTTACCTATTCGAGAGTTACCTAAGAAATAGCAATGAAGCATGCTAAATGTAATTAAATGGAATTGTTGATGGGGGGAATGACCAAAAATTGCATGTGTATGTGAGATGTTGAATGGGAGGAGTGAGAATTGGGTTTTTTTGATGGAAACTGTTGAGAACAGAAGTAATGATTAATCCGTAATTGTTGCGACTAGTAGTGACCAATGGTAGAAGGACAAAAGAGAAAAGTGGTTGGGGAAGAAAAAAGACAGTTACATAGGTGCTTATTTTGTGACAAAGGTAAGGACAATTGTTGCGAGTATGTGAAAAGGAATATGTAGATTATTTCCTCGCCAATTATCACTCAGTGACATTTAGTCGCCAAATAATCAGTGTTGAGTTAAGACGTATATGATTTAATGGACCGAAACATCTTATCTCATTTTTGCCTCCTTTCCTCATTCCTTCCTACTTTGTATTCAATACACCTTCGACATTTTGGCATCTAAGGTCAATCTGGATGCTACAATCGGCTTAAAAGCCAAACATTCTTGAACGAAACAATTTTGCAAGATTGCCCTTAAAACTTACGACAGCGCTTGAATCAATTTTGGCTGCCTCTTCGTTGAAAAATTTACGCAGCACATCAACCGTCATTTTCTCCTGTATACGGCCAACGAAAACGCGCGTTACCACCGGCGAACCCACTTCCGTCTTAAAAAAAAAAACAAACGTAGATCGGTTATTATTAGGTCCCATTGCATTGATCCATTAATTCCAATTTTTCGGAAAGTTTCCAAGAAAAAGGAAAATCGCAGGTGGCAGAAAAGTTGCTGGATATACCGATACACAGGTGGAGATCCAGCCCCCGAAACAACACCTATTCCAGGCGATATTCCATGTGAATATTGCCACAGAGCCCCCATTTAAAAACAGGCATCTAATTCAAGTTCATCCGTCAAAAAAACCAATTTATCTGTGATTTGTTTCAACGTCATGCCCAAAAAGTATATAATTCGATGCTGTGGCTGAATTAAATTTCGTGGCAGCAATGATGATGATGATTAGAACTCGATGATGCTGATGATGATTAAATTATGATGGTGATAAGATGATGATT